CATGTGTTTACTTCTACTCTTGGATCTGTTTGGGTAGAGTACTGTTATTCTTCTATGCAAAGGTTCCTGGTACATTTCAGTTTCAGTCTTGTATAGATACAGGATTTTATAGTTCTTGCTCAAGGAACAGAATCCTTTCAGACTACTGCTTCATATTGTTTTTTGTCGACACAATAATGAACTTGGGAGTGGGATGAGCAACATAAGTAGGATCTAGAAAACTAAAAGAGGCTACTGAAATGAAAGAAAAGTTGGTTTTCTTCGTTTCCTTTTCGAATGGAAGACTAAAGGCTGCTGCCTGTCCCGCAATGTACTGAGAGAGCAACTGGAGTCAGATGAGTCCAGTTGCTGATGATTCTTATATTAGACATTGACATACTCATTTTCCTATCTAACATGAGAAGGGACTATCCATCTCAGCAAAGAGCGGCGTTGTTGTTTGTTTCATAAGCGTGTTCAGTGCTACTCCAGCACTTCTGTGTCTTCGTGAATGTTCCTCAGCAGTCGTCTTAAGGGGAAAAAAGAGGAAGCTCTGTAGTTTGCATTTCTTCAACTAGATCCCCTTTTCTGAGCGTTACTTTGAGAAGAATAGCAAATTCCACCCCACCGCCTCCCTGGGTGTTTCCCACGATGGATGTGTATGATACGCATTTTCAGCAAAGGGACGTGATGTAACAGGACTTTGTATACTTTGTTTTAGACTCAGGCTGTGACTCTGTGACTGATACAGAAACAGAAGACGAGAAGAACCCAGTTTACTCCCACAGACTTGCCATGAGTGAAGAATATGGATCATCCAAGAGCATTGGGGACCATCCGGTGGTGCAGCCTGACCGCATACGGTGTGGGGTACTGTATGTCCACTCCTTGGGCTACGTTCTTACTGTGGGCTGGTGCAACCCATTATGCTGCTCTGTAATGGACAGCTTTACAGGCCTCAGAATTAGTCCCTAATTCCCTTTCTGTTGCCTTCCCTCTCAGCCCCCTGTCCTCAGGGTCTCTGTTTGAGAAGCTCAGTTCCCTAGACCTAGAACTAGCTTGGTAACTTGAAGCACCCGGTGTTTTCTAGGCTGCAAGGTCACTTATGGATTGGTACTCTCATTAATATAGCTGCTTGTCTTGTGTGCTGTGAGGCAGGTTCACACTTTTGACTTCCCATCTTCCATTCTGGTGTGATTTATTGGGGTGGCAAGTGGAGTAAGGTGATTGTAATGAACCAGGTAACTCTACAGCCTGGATGCAGTTTAATATGACAATTCTGGCGCATGTCCTGCAAGTGACTCCGAAGAGCTTGGATCATGGCTTCCTGTCTGAAAATCAGCATTTTTTAGTATAACATCCCCTCAAATGGATAAAGTCTAAGGTTTTTTCCTTTGTTTCCATTTAGAACAGGGCTGTGCTGCTTGAGGGAAGAGACTGATAGAGTTGCAACTAAATCGTTTTATAAATCTAGCTTTAATCAGTTTATAAATCTAGCTGGTAAATCTGGAGTTTTATCAGCTTAATGCATGTATGTATGCTGGTGCAGGCTGTAACAGAAGCCACCTGCCCAGTTACTCCATGACTGGAAGATGCTCCTGAAAACTATTCAGGACCGTGAAAATGACAGATGATAATTTGTGTTGGTTGCAATGAGAGCAAAATCCATAGAAAAGAGGCTTAACAAAGTAAGTGTGCTTATGTTGTGAAACTGCATGTTGTAATGCCTCTTCTTTTAGGTGCAGACAACAGTTTATATTATCATGAAATGTAAACTAGATGGCGAAGTGAAAACCGAAGTTGAATTCTCTCCAGAGAATGCATCATCTGTGCGTGTGCTGGCTGAGATGGAGAATGAGTACACAATCTCTGTGGAGGCTCCAAGTAAGCTGGGCTGATATTTTTCCCTGTGTTCTCCCCGCCATTGCTTCCTTTCTGTCTCAACCTGCCTGTACTGAAAAATGCCAGAGGGATGGGGTAAAGGTTGCAATGCAGGTAAACTTGAGGCCAGGAAATCTTGAACTTGCATTCTCATCTGTGATGCTTTTGTGATGAGGAACTGAGATAGAGCTGCTTGGGGGCTCTGTTTTCCTCTCAACAGTGGCAGGGCTGCAGTGTGGAAACACCTTACTGGCAGTCTGAGAGCAGATTGCAGCTTGTAAAGCACTTTGAATTTAACTGCGTGTTATAACCACCACCACGTTAGCATTGGCAGGGCACCAAGATAAGGTAAGTGCCAGTAAATAATTGCATGACTATAAAAGCGTGTGCTTAATGTGTGATGATCTTTCTGTGATGAGAGCTGAAACTATTTATCCTGGCTTGCCTTTTAATTTAGATATGTTCTGTCACTCGAGATATTTGCATCTGCAAAACTGTAGCTTATCTAAACTTTAAATTCACTACACTTTAGGGGCAAGATTTTAGACCCTTACAGATTGATAGTAGTTTCCTAGCATGATTTTATCTACTTTGGTCTGTTTTCTTGAATTGTGCCAAGAAATTATTATTTATTTGTTATTGTGCCAGCTCTGAGATAGAGACTAATAGTCATTTCTGAAAAGTCAGTGAGGTGGATTGATTTAAAGAAGGTGACCTCACCCACATAAAAATGTTCAACTTAATCTGTCTTAAATCAAGGCTTGTAATTTAATCATGGACCTGGAAACTAACTACACTTTGAATTACAAACATGACCTTCACATTGATGGAGCGTGTACAGCTATGTAAGCTCTGCAGTTTCTAACAATAAGAGAAATATATTTTTAATTCCTTTTGCACGTGGCCGTAACTATTTCATCGTTTCCTGAGTTGTTAACAGCCAAGCATATATACAGGGAAATATTAATTTCAGTGGGATTCAAAATATTTGTATTTCAAAGAGAAAATTCAGACCTATCAATCAATGCATACTGTACAAAACATCAAGAAGCTCCCAAGGTGCAGGTAGGAGATAAGTCCTGTGCATGGGTAAGGCTGCAAAGCTGGAATGCTTTTAAGTTGATTTAGTTCAGAGACTAGTGATAGGGATTGCAAAATCCCTAGTGACTTTTCTGGTTCCTCTCCCCTTCTTCCTTAGTTCTTATATTTTTTGGCATGGTTTAGAGACCACTCCAGAGAAAGCCAGGGTGAAGAGATGTGAGGCTTTCTAGTTTGAGATGGCTTATTGTTAACAGTAGTGGTCCAGCCTACTGTTAGCAGAAGACCTAGGAGGTTACAGGTGATGTACATTGACATGGCTATGAAGAAGGTAATTCCAAATTACTTTCCTACCTAGTGTTCAGACCAACATAATCTCTTTTTTTATGGCTCTTCATGAATTCAATAAAACAGAAACTGTTTTTGGTATCCAGCTGGCAGTATCTCCAAACTCGTATCCTCAGAGTATTTGATGCAGACTCATTCATTCCCATTGCTTGTTCTTAATGGTGATTTCTTCTCTTTCTTTTCGAAGATTTAACATCTGGGACAGTGCCTTTGCAGATATATTCAGGGGATTTGATGGTGGGAGAAACAAGCATCACTTACCATACCGACATGGAGGAAATTGGCAGTCTGTTGGCTAATGCAGCCAACCCAGTACAGTTCATGTGCCAGGTAATTAATCTAGCAAACAGCTGCTTTGAAGTCTGGCCTCTGAAAGAGCCAGTTAAGCGGATATAAGCAAAAGTGTTTGCCATGAAGTAGCTTTTCTGAAATGAAGAAATCAAGGAATTTTCACTGCTTTTAGCGAAAGCATGGCTGCTTTTTCTGTCTCTGGAGCAAATAGCTGGCTAAGGTGACTCAGACTATCCAACTAACAAAAAAAAAGACTTTTAGACTTTGATGACTTGAAAAGATTGGGATGACAGAACTTGATATAACAGAAAGTACCATAAAGAAATAAATAGTTTGGAAATTTGTACCTGAGAGTTCTTGGAAAAGATGTGAAAAGGTAGCAAAGATTCATACTAGCTGAACCAAGGAGAGTAACATAAAATGATTTGTTTATTCTTAGCACTTATTTCTTTAAAGCCTCTTCTCAGTTCTCATGTCATATTTTGCACGATGGGGGTACCTGAATCCTATTAAAGTGGTAAAGCTTGCACAAGCAAGTTCTCCACATGTGTTGTCTTTGCTGCCTGCCTGCATGTCCCTGGTTAGCCATGCAGCAGGAGCCTACAGAGTAGTGTTGTTAGTCACCAGCATACCTGCGGTGGGGGAGACTATCTTTCCCTTTCTTTTTAGTTCAAATTGTGGAGCAGTTGGTACTGGTCTGTGTCTCTACTTGGGGAATAAGCATGCTTCACAGTCTTTGACTAATAACCGGTCTAAAAGCCAAACTCGAAGTGTGCGCTAGAGCAATTGGAAATGGGCTAGTTGATACTTAGAGCAAGAGCGACACTTCATTGGAACAGTTTCAGAAGATACTTCCTACTTCCTTGACAGGAATAAAGTTTTATGTGCTTCCAGTTGCATGAGTGACTTCCTTGTTGTACTCTGTCTTGTGGAGTGCATGATTCTCATCTTCTCAGATTGATGATACTCTCTGGACCAGGAAGCTATTAATGTTCTTTGCTGGACCTGAACATTGCTACCTTCAGTGTTTATGCCTACTGTTTTCTAACATCTGCTAAATAAACACCTTCTAAATCTCACCTTAACTGAATCTTCAGACTCCCCCAAACAAAATCACTTTCCATTTATCTCTAGGCCTTTAAAATCGTGCCATACAGCATAGAAGCACTTGACAAACTGTTGACTGAGTCACTTAAGAAGAACATTCCTGCCAGTGGCTTACACCTGTTTGGAATCAACCAGCTGGAAGAAGAAGATATGACTACAAGTAAGTTGAAAGATGCTTGTTTTCTTTTTAAACTTCATCTGTATCAGTTGTTTTACCATGGAGCACCTTAACACTGCTGTGCGTACCTGCACAGGCTGCCTCAAAAATCTTGGATCTCAGCCAGGAAGCTCAATTTCTAATGATGCCTATAGAAGGGGGATTGCCATTTGGGTCAGATGACCCTTTTTTTAATACATTCATTCTCACTTCCTTGGACTGCGACAGATGCAGCTGTGTAGACAGCTTCAAACACAACCAAAATGAAAAGATGATGCTCCACAAAATGTCTCCCATATTTTCTCCCTTGTTCTTCTCCCAGTCCCATGTGGCATTTCTCCCCAGCCCAATCCTCCCCTAATCCTATGACTCTGCTCTAAGTTGCACCATGGGCACTCAGCAGTTGGTGTGGCACCATGACATGGTTGCCTTACAAGCAGCTGGATCCTACTGGAATGATGGTCTAAGAGGTGCTTGCAAACCTGTGATCTTATGTACCTAAAGCTATTACAATGCCACCTTCCCCACTAAAGGTCATAGGACTCAAGCCTGGAGACGCACTAGATACTCAGTTAATTTGTGCCGAGTTAGGTTTATTTTGAAACTCTATATATACTTTTCAGGGCACTCACACCTGCTTTGGTCTGTGTGTTTGCTAGGAATTTTTTCTCACCTAGTGGCTCTCTTGCTGCTCGAGAGAAACTTAGATTCTAACAGGCTTCTGTTCTCACAGCTCAGAGGGATGAGGAGTTGCCAACACTGCTCCACTTTTCTGCAAGATACGGGCTGAAGAACCTCACTGCCTTGCTGCTTACATGCCCTGGAGCACTGCAGGCCTACAGCGTAGCCAACAAATATGGACATTATCCAAACACCATAGCAGAAAAGCATGGCTTTAGGGACCTCCGCCAATTCATTGACGAATATGTGGTAAGAGGGAGCTACAGTCCTACATTGTCCCACAGCAGGTGTGGGCAGTGGCACCAAGCTTGGCACTTAATGTTGTGGGAGCAGGAGTGACAGGGTAATAACACAATGTGGTGTGGTAGGATGTAGAAGACAGACATCCAGCCACACTGAAAGCTTCCAGGCTGGAGGGTTGGGTGTATCTCTGGAGCTGGTGAAGTTCTTGGGGCTTTTTCACAGAACAAATAAGATGGAAGCAGAGCCCACCATGCTGGGTTCCCTTATCATCCATCCATCAAATGAAGCTTCTGCAAGGACGTGGTTAGTGCTTGGTGTGCTTTTTGAACCTTTTATCTTGGCAAAACTACAGTCTCTATATTCCACTTAATTCAGGGAGTTATATGGGAATAGAATATGTTTGGGAAGGTGCAGTCTGAGGTACTCTGATTAGTCATAGTACAGTCTGCATTGCTTATTAGCTCATTCACAGCTGATCTGTATATTCTGTCTGCACCACTTGAAATCCGTTTCTTCCTATGTTAGGGTAGCTGTCCATACCCTACTTGTTCTCTCTGGTATCCCAATTCACGATTCAGCTCTCTTTGAGCTAACCTCATTCCCAGAAAACAGCACTCTGACTTTTCCAGATTATGATATGGACCTGACTCCAGCTGCACCAGGCAATTGTTTCTGTGGGATCCTTGGCTGTGCATGGGTTTGTCTTTACTTCTCCATTCAAGTTGTTTCCAGCCTGTGTGCTTCAAAATAAAAAGCAGCTCATCAAGTCAAATCACATGAATTTCCGAGCATGTTTTATTTGCCCTTACTTTCAGTTGAAAAGTTGTGTGTAGTTGTCCCTAACAGTTGTCTGCATGGTGGGTGGTAGATCTGCCAGCCTTAGTATGGTTTTGCCAGCCCATTACAGTAGTGTTTAAGCCCAATTTAGGAGGCACGGGTGATTCTTAAACTTGGGGCTTACTTCTTGACATAAGCGTGAATTTAGGGTTATACTTTAGAGCTGTATAAAGGTCATTCCCTGTCCTGAGATCAGGAGGGCTGCAGAAACTGTAAATTGTGTGATTAAAATCTTTGCACTGGGGTGAGAGGTGCTTAGGTAGTCCTTAGAACCTCTTACTGCTGTACTGTGCACCTCCCATGTCCTCCTCTCCACCAGCACAGTGGCAGAGCTGTGTGAAGAGCAGGTCCTGCTTACTGACCATCAAGCTATCTGTGCAGCTTAGTACCAGAGCACACAAATGATCTGTACCAGTGTGTCCACTGCAAGGTAGTGACTAGAAGCACTACAAGTATGGATATCTGTAAATCCCAGTAAACCAAAGGGGTTTACTCATCTAATTTTCTCTCTGGCAAATGTTCCTCTGCACCTCCCTAAAGCATTGCATGAGCTACCTGCTTGAGCCATTTTGACTGTGGAGGGAAGCATGTGTAGACAGTTTTGACACACATGCCCTGTGGATTGAAGGCCTGTGAGGTGGTGGTTGTGGATTGGAGAATATCTTGTAGTACTGCAACTGGTTAAGATGACTGTGCTTGTGACATAGCTGAAACTTGGGAAGGAGACTGGGATGAAGCTTTGTGTTTTGCTCCATTGCATGGTTTGGTGAAGATCTGCACTACCCTCCCTCCTACCCTCCACCCCATGTTGCAGATATGTGAGAAAGGGTTCTGCTGTCCTGTGAATCGAAAGTTGCCTGTGTTACATGAAAAACTGCCTGCTGTGAGGTTTCCTGTTAATCTCACAGAAAAGGGTCTGTGTACTCTGGGTGTTACGTGCTGCTGCTGATGCCAAGAAACTGAAACTGAATCTACACCAAAGCTAAAATTTTGCTGCCTTGTAAGTGCGCCACATGTGGCAAGCTTTCCCCCTTATGGTCAGCTATGCTTGCCCCAAAATAGCCTTTCACAAGCGTTTGTATTTTTAGAATGAGGTTTGCTTATGCTCTAGCATTTTGTAGACATTGGGTAAGATGTGAAATTGAGGGGGTGAGAGGCTGTAGTGGCTATTCAGAATGCGTCAGCACCAGCTTGTTTCACCTTGATTACCTATTATTACAACATAGATCTTAAAGACTGGACCCAGACAGCTGTAGTGGGGATTTAATTCCTTTGAGAAGCCTTAGCCTGTGGGAATGGGCTGCTTTTAGAAGGCTTTTTCCATCAGCGATGGGAGAATGAGGTATCTATTGCTTGCTTTGATTCTCCAGATTCTTTATATAAATGAGACTTGAACATTTTTCTTCTTGCCTTCCTTCCTCTCCAGGAAACTGCAGATATGCTGAAGAGTCACATTAAGGAAGAGCTGATGCAAGGCGAGGAGGATGAGTCTGTTTATGAGTCCATGGCTCATCTGTCCACTGATCTGTTAATGAAATGTTCCTTGAATCCTGGCTCCGATGAAGAGCTTTATGAATCCATGGCCGGATTTGTCCCTGGTGCCCCAGAAGATCTTTGTATGTATATTCATAGAATCACAGAATTGTAGTATGGTTTGGGTTGGACCTCTAAAGGTTGTCTAGTCCAAGCCCCTGCAATGAGCAGGGAC